TAGACAGCATGGGTTCCAACGGAAACTCGGCCATCTGCATGAGTTTAAGTGTTTGTGGAACGTTTTCGGAGAAAATATGATACGGGCAGGGAAAGGAATGAAATAGGAAAAAAGAAAGACGTAAATTTGATGAGGAAAACAGATAACCGTGCGTGATTCGAGGGAGAAACATAAAAGTTAGTCTGACAATCCCCGGACTAAAATTCATTGATCCCGATTAAGGAAACTCAACACTTGCAATGCATATACACTGGGGTTTGATGAACGGGTACTGATAGGGTGTCCAGCCACTAAACAGGACATACAATACAAGAGTTTCGAAATAATAACGGCACACTCATCACCACGGTTAATTATATCGTTACGGAAACTAGTACGGTGCACTACTACCATAACTACAACTAACGAATGATATCACAATTAGTATGAGGCACACCGGTTTCCAGTGAGTTCAGAAAAAAAAACCTTTGAGGATGGGATGCCCAGTAGTTTTGCGTAGTGCTGTCGTTTATATTCGCAGGAGGTACCGATTGTTCTCGATAAAGAACGCGGACAGAAACAGTTTTGAATTAGAATTTAAGATAATGAATAAATATAATGGAGTTTTTTCTGCCCGGGAATGGTATAGGGACACTCAGAGGATTAAACTGTATAACATCGCTGCTGGTAGTAATGCCTGCCACTCACGTCTTCCGTGACCACTAAGTGGATCGCATTATGCGAACCGAGTCTGTTCACCCGGGGATGAGGGGGGGGTTATGCCAATGATGCGCCACCATTAGACAAGATTGAATGCACCAGGGCATATTCAAATGAAATTTCATCTCCACTGGTTGTGCCCTCCGATTGACCCAACTCATAACATTACAAGGACCGGACAACTGGCCCAAAATAAGTTTGGTAGTGAACGGGGTCAATGCGGAGGCTGGTTTACGTTTGTTGCTGATGCTGTTATTGCTGTTGTTTGTAGTGATGATAGTGGTTCACATACCGAATGAGACCTGGAAATCGACATCGGCTTCCAGTAACACGGCTAAGCACGCACACATACACACACACACACACACACACACACACACACACACACGGAGAGAGATATGTAAACGCCAGATGACCCCTTTTCCGACAAAAACGAGCCTTTTACTACCATCAAACAACAACAACAACAGAAAGCGGGCGAAACACCCACCCACATCTTCGTTTGCGAGATGCGAAAACTCTCGCACACTGATTTTAAACATATGCATAGAAAGGGACGAGACTGACACACACACACACACACACACACACACACACTGAAAGA